TCTTGCCAGAGCAACCAGGCAAGCCCCCCCCCCCTTGATCACCAGATATCGCCTATTCTTCTCTATACTGCTTGCATTAGAGTAGTGTAGCATGTTACTGCTTTCCGTTAATCCTATTCTGATGCATAGCCTGACATTGTTGCTACATCTGTTGATACCTTACCTGCAATCCTAAATACTTAGTATAGGATGCTAGTTTATCATCATTGGCCCTACATCCTTGTCAGTCTGCCTTGCTATACTATTGGGCCGTGATCACTCGGGAGGTGATCACGGGTATATACTATACATACATTCATACTATACAGATGGTGACTAAAGTCGGGTCAGCTCGAGGAGTACCCGCAAGTGATTCTGATGAGGGGGCTGAAAGGACAGGTGGCTCCATCCCGGTAGAGGTGGGCATGGGTTCTCGACGGCCCCCGAATATTACTTTGTGGCGGAGCGACAGGGCAGGTTGAGACCGCCTAGGAGAGAGGTGGGCCGGGCCCTGGTCGGCGTTCGCGGATACTTAACACGCTTAACGAGATCTTGGTATTTGATCTGAGTCTGGCCATTTGGTCTATACGCACTAACCATCTACGCGGGAGTAGTTATGGGTATCCCGGCGTCGTGGTATCAGCCGAAGCACTTCGTGACGTCAGCGACTGAGCGGCGCGCGCCGGATTGGACTGGAACGCCACTAGGCTAGGTCTGCTTCCGGCCGCCCATGCAACGTGCAGGTGTGCTCAGGGCGATGGGCCCAGACCCCTGTGCCTTAGGTTTAGACCGGCGTGCTGACCTCTCTGTTGTGCCTAGGTGGGGCTGCGACGTGTTGATCTTCTGAGGCCGGGTATGACCCAGGAAAGTGTGTCCGGCCAAATGGGATCGAGCGTGTTGGGTTATGTGGTGCACCCCTGCAGGGAAGTTAATCTATTCGAAGAGCCGTGATCTTCGGTAACAGGACGACTTGGAGTTGTACCTTGACCTTATGACAACTAGAACCGGATACTTAATAAAACACAGCCTTTCAAGTTCCACAGACAACCCGGTGATCGCTTTTCCACAGGGCGACGAGGGGAGGATCGCCGGGTAGGATTATGCTATGCGATGCTACTGGAGATGCTACTTGGAGATGCTACTTGGAGGACTTCAGTCTACTCTCTTCTACATGCTGCAAGACGGAGGCTGCTAGAAGCTAGTCTTCGACAGGATTAGCTATCCCCCTCTTATTCTAGCATTCTGCAGTTCAGTCCACTGATATGGCCTCCTTACACATATACCCATGCATATGTAGTGTAGTTCCTTGCTTGCGAGTACTTTGGATGAGTACTCACGGTTGCTTTCTCCCCCCTTTTTCCCCCTTTCCTTTCTTTCTGGTTGTCGCAACCAGATGCTGGAGTCCAGGAGCCAGGCGCCACCGTCGACGACGACCCCTACTACACCGGAGGTGCCTACTACTACGTGCAGCCCGCTGACGACGACCAGGAGTAGTTAAGAGGATCCCAGGCAGGAGGCATGCGCCTCTTTCGATTTGTATCCCAGTTTGTGCTAGCCTTCTTAAGGCAAACTTGTTTAACTTATGTCTGTACTCAGATATTGTTGCTTCCGCTGACTCGTCTATGATCGAGCACTTGTATTCGAGCCCTTGAAGCCCCTGGCTTGTATTATGATGCTTGTATGACTTATTTATGTTTTAGAGTTGTGTTGTGATATCTTTCCGTGAGTCCCTGATTTTGATCGTACACGTTTGCGTGCATCATTAGTGTACGATTGAATCGGGGGCGTCACACAAGGACCGGATCTAGCAAGAAACTACAAGCAGATGATCAGATGCACCAAGATCAAATCCTGAAACAAACACAAACCCCAGATTGCAAACTCCTGTAAACACCACAGATATCCACACAACGAAACACCCAGGTGAGCAGATCTAGCAAAAGGATAACAAAAAACACAAGGTAATGAAACGGTCAAAGCGAAACTAGGAAGCTAAAAAGCACGAACCCTAGCTCGGAAAGGGGAAGAGCAGAAGAGCGAGACTGAAGGAGAGAAGGGGGCAAGTGACTGACAACACAGAGGAGGGGAGAGAATAAGACGAGGAAATCGGCGACGGTCGGCGTTCCCCGATAACGGGTCGGGCTTCTTAACGGGCAAATCACGCCAGACGAGCCAGGTCGCGCCCCATGCCACACGAGCCAGCCCGCACCCCAGATCGACTGACCCAAAGCACGGGTAAGTCGACGCTAGCCGGCCCAACGAAAACAGAATGCAGTCAAAACAGAAAAAATAAAACACGCATCTCAAAGCACAATCCAACGGCCCAAAATTCGACTGCCGCAAAACTAAAAAATCAACTGACTGGAAGGTAGCTATTTCGATAATTTTCACTTGTGCATCTCATGTAGTATTAATTTTGTCAATAGTCAAAGACGGTCTTGAAATACGCATTAGGCCCTATATAGATGAAAGGAGGGAGTGGTGTTTTTCAGCGCGCACCCAACCCATTTTTGCGCGCGCACTGTTCTACAGATTCTGCTGGAGCTGTCCCGCGTCCAGAAAACCCGGATTTTAGCGCGCGGCCCAATTTTTGAGCGACTGTTGGCTCTTACATTCCTACATCTTGGAAAGCACGGTCGACTCCACGGCACTAGAACGCCCACGGTGCGAAGAAGCCTCCGAGAGCCCCGCGCGCACATTGGCCGCGAACCTCTCCATGGCGCGCGGAGGCAGGCACATCGGCACGGTGATCCCTCCGGCCGCCGCAGGAATGTGGAACGTGGCCAGCGTCGTCGTGGCCGGCCCGCCGTACACCGGAAGGCCCCACCCGAGGTCCACCTCGTGCAGGTTCGACTTAGTCAGATCCGTCACAAGATACGTCCACGCCGTCGTGAACCGCGGCCGCCCGCGCAGCACCAGCGCGTCGGCCACCGACTGCGCGTAGTCGGCGGCGGCGACCCGCGCCTTGGCGGCCACGATCAGCTCCACGGCGCGGCCCAGCGGTCCCGAGCAGAGCTCGCCGGCCGTCGTCCGCGCCACGCCGAAGGTGAGCGCGTTCCCGTAGAACCCCTCGGGGAGCGGGCAGCCGCGCTTCCCGCGGGCGTTCACCACGAACATGAACCGCACCTCGTCGCCGGGCTCGTACCCGAGCGCCGCGGTCCGGCAGCGCCACGCGAACGCCGACAGGAGCAGGAACCGGGAGCACCGCGACCTCATCCGCGGCGGTAGCTGGTCCCTCAGCGAGGACAACTCCTCGGGGCCGAAGAGGAATGCCCGGTGCACGAGCTCGCCGCCCGGACGGAGCCTGTCGTTGGCCGCGTCGGCCGCGAGCTCGTACTCGGGGTGTTGGTAGTTGGGGCACGGTGGGTCGCGCGCGTCGAGCAGCTCCCTTGCCCACACCGGCCGCACGCTTGGCGCCTCCATGCCGCTCGCCAGCTCACCGACGGCCTGCAGGAACTGCGTGACGCCCGGCGCGTCCACCAGGTTATGGCACACCTGGATGCCGAACACGAAGCCTCCGCACCTCAACCTCGTCACCTTCATGCCATCATGCATGGTGCATGTCAGTCTCACGTACACGTAGTACAAATTAAGGATGCACCATCAATTCTTCAACCCTGGCCTAGTTCGTCCAGGAAAAAATAATCTTGGATGCACCCATGAGTCCATGACTTACTTGAACGTAGAGCAGTGGACGATCGACAACGACGGCGGAGTTGCTCTCCGGCAAGCACAGGAGCTGGCCGGCGCAAGGGACCGGCGGGCACAGCGTGTCGCCGAACTCGTCCAACGCGACGTCCGCGTCAGCCTCGACGAACGACACCCCCTCGCCGGTGCAGTCCACCGCGAGCATCCTACCGGGCAGCTCGCGGAGCCGCCCGGCGATGGGGTAGTAGTGCACGAGCGCCGCGGCCAGGCCCTGACGTATGACCCTGGCCGGGTCGGCGCGCGCCCGCGATGGGTGGCCCCGGTAGAAGTAGATGACGGAGCGGTAGAACCGCAGGCTCTCCTGGTCGTCGAGGTCCGAGAGCCGCTTGAGCTCATGCGGCGTCGGCCCGGCCGGCGCGACCAGCTCCGGCTCGCCGCGGCGCGCCACGAAAGCCAGGGACGTGGCGGCCATAGTAGCTAGTAGCGGCGCTAGATTACTGGTTTTAATTAAGCCTGGTGCTGCTGCTTAGTTAGTGTTGGCCGTTGGAAAATGGCGGACGTTGGATCGTAGTCGATCGTCTAGTGTGCATCTCTATGAACGTGCAAACATCCAGATATATAGGAGTGGTGGTGGTGGGTCGAGTTTACGGCTTCACGCTGTGAAGAATTCATCGTGGTTTGGTCGCCGGTGGCGAACCAAGAAGATGAGAGTGTGATGTGAGAATTGTTCAGCGCGTGAGTCGCCGTGGGTGGTGCGGTCGCGCACTGCGGCAAACATGATTTTGGTTGGGCCGAGGATGATGCGCGCGTGAGCATGATTTACTCGTCAAACCTTTCACGTGCTTTGACAGATCCTGGATGGCTGTTAATTGTAAGACATGTGTTCATGTCATTGATGATTTGGGCTCTTAACTTTTCACAAGAGAAAGAAGTAGGTGTGCCATGTGGCACGTTTTCACGGCTGTGGTTGTTGGTTTCACGCATGAAATGCCTAAGATATTTAACGGCTGTTGAAAGTTCTGCTTGAGTGCTGATTAGACGTGACTTACCTATGCATAAATGTCATGATTAAAGCTGATTTCTGCATGATTTTGTTGACTATCTAACGTAAATATTTTTGACATGGTGAGGAACTTGAATATGTTTTTTTTTTGAAACATAATTGACTTTATTCCTCAAATAATAGCGAGATCGTTTACATAAGAGTGAGAAATAAAGTCAGGGATGACAGAATCCCAAAACATAGAAGAATATTCTCTAAAAGAACATTGTGCTAACTCATGAGCCACCATATTTGCTTCACGTAGGCAGTGAGAATACTCCACAGACGCAAAGTCCAAAGATAATTGCTTGCATTCTAGTACAGTAGCAACGTCACGCCCCACATATGCATCTGGATTTTGCACTAGTTCCACCACAAAGCTATTATCCGACTCCACCAACACTTTGTTGCATCCAATTTTCCCAGCTAAGTATAGCCCATTCCTGATTGCTGTCATTTCCGCTGAGTCAGCACTGCCGACTTGAGGTATATACCATGTTGCCGCCGCAATAAATTTTCCTCGCCCGTCACGAGCAATAGCTCCCGTTGCACCTGACAAGGTTTCAGGCTTAAAGGCGGCATCAACATTAATTTTTACCACGTCCATAGTTGGTCGTTTCCACATGCGTTCATAGCTTCTCACTGGCTGCTTAGTTGTGTAGGCTCGAAAGAAGTTGGTGGCTAAGACTCTTATAGAAACAGCAGCCCTATCAGGGGTCTTGATCGCCTCCCCCTTGACATGTTGCCGACGCTGCCACCAAAGAAACCAAGCGGCCACTGCTATGAGCTCTGTCGTCGGTAGCCCCTCTGTAATAGAGTTATTGTGGCACAAGATTTCTACAGTGATTGAACCCGACCTATCCTGCTCAGTTGCTTCTGCGATAATGTTTCGTAGCTTCAATTCTGACCACACCTCCTTCGCCCTCTTGCAAGTGAACAAAATATGTTGAATGTCCTCGATCCCCACTGCACAGAACGGACATTGGGGAACAAGTGGTATGTGTCTATTTGCTAATATCCCAAGACAGGGTAGTGATCCATTGAGAGCCTTCCACACAAAATGTTTGATCTTCCCTGGGAGTTTAAGTTTCCATACCTCCTTCCAGATTGTATTAATTTGTGTGTTCCCTTGTGAAGGAAATATGCCCTAGAGGCAATAATAAAGTTATTATTTATTTCCTTATATCATGATAAATGTTTATTATTCATGTTATAATTGTATTAACCGGAAACATAATACATGTGTGAATACATAGACAAACATAGTGTCACTAGTATGCCTCTACTTGACTAGCTCGTTTATCAAAGATGGTTATGTTTCCTAACCATGGACAAAAGAGTTGTCATTTGATTAACGGGGTCACATCATTAGGAGAATGATGTGATTGACATGACCCATTCCGTTAGCATAGCACTTGATCATTTAGTATATTGCTATTGCTTTCTTCATGACTTATACATGTTCCTGTAACTATGAGATTATGCAACTCCCGTTTACCGGAGGAACACTTTGGGTACTACCAAACGTCACAACGTAACTGGGTGATTATAAAGGAGTACTACAGGTGTCTCCAAAGTTACATGTTGGGTTGGCGTATTTCGAGATTAGGTTTTGTCACTCTGATTGTCGGAGAGGTATCTCTGGGCCCTCTCGGTAATGCACATCACTATAAGCCTTGCAAGCAATGTAGCTAATGAGTTAGTTACGGAATGATGCATTACGTACGAGTAAAGAGACTTGCCGGTAACGAGATTGAACTAGGTATTGGATACCGACGATCGAATCTCGGGCAAGTAACATACCGATGACAAAGGGAACAAAGTATGTTATTATGCAGTTTGACCGATAAAGATCTTCGTAGAATATGTAGGAGCCAATATGGGCATCCAGGTCCCGCTATTGGTTATTGACCGAGAATAGTTCTAGGTCATGTCTACATAGTTCTCGAACCCGTAGGGTCCGCACGCTTAAGGTTTCGATGACACTTATATTATGAGTTTATGAGTTTTGATGTACAGAAGGAGTTCGGAGTCCCGGATGAGATCGGGGACATGATGAGGAGTCTCGAAATGGTCGAGACGTAAAGATCGATATATTGGACGACTATATTCGGAGTTCGAAAAGGTTCCGAGTGATTCGGGTATTTATCGAAGTACCGGAGAGTTACGGGAATTCGCCGGGGAGAAGTATTGGGCCTTATTGGGCCATACGGGAAAGAGAGAGGGGCTGCCTAGGGCAGGCCGCGCGCCCCCCAAGGCCTAGTCCGAATTGGACTAGGGGGAGAGGCCGCACCCCCTCCTTCCTTCCCTTCTCTCTTCCCCTTCCTTCTCTCCTACTCCTACTAGGAAAGGAGGAGTCCTACTCCCGGTGGGAGTAGGACTCCCCCTTGGGCGTCCCTCCTCCTCCTTGGCCGGCCCTCCCCTTGCTCCTTTATATACGGGGGCAGGGGGGCACCCCACAACACACAAGTTGATCTTCGTGATCGTTCCTTAGCCGTGTGCGGTGCCCCCCTCCACCATATTCCATCTCGGTCATATCGTCGCGGAGTTTAGGTGAAGCCCTGCGCCGGTAGAGCATCATCATCGTCACCACGCCGTCATGCTGACGGAACTCATCCCCGAAGCTTTGCTGGATCGGAGCCCGGGATCGTCATCGAGCTGAACGTGTGCTGAACTCGGAGGTGCCGTACGTTCGGTATTTGGATCGGTCGGATTGTGAAGACGTACGAATACATCAACCGCGTTGTCATAACGCTTCCGCTTACGGTCTACGAGGGTACGTGGACAACACTCTCCCCTCTCGTTGCTATGCCATCACCATGATCTTGCGTGTACGTAGGAATTTTTTTTGAAATTACTACGTTCCCCAATAGTGGCATTCGAGCCTAGGTTTTATGCGTTGATGTTATATGCACGAGTAGAACACAAGTGAGTTGTGGGCGATACAAGTCATACTGCTTACCAGCATGTCATACTTAGGTTCGGCGGGATTGTGAGATGAAGCGGCCCGGACCGACATTACGCGTACGCTTACGCGAGACTGGTTTCACCGTTACGAGCACTTGTGCTTAAAGGTGGCTGGCGGGTGTCTGTCTCTCTCACTTTAGCTGAATCAAGTGTGGCTACGCCCGGTCCTTGCGAAGGTTAAAACAGCACTAACTTGACGAACTATCATTGTGGTTTTGATGAGTAGGTAAGAACGGTTCTTGCTAAGCCCATAGCAGCCACATAAAATTTGCAACAACAAAGTAGAGGACGTCTAACTTGTTTTTGCAGGGCATGTTGTGATGTGATATGGTCAAGACGTGATGCTATATTTTATTGTATGAGATGATCATGTTTTGTAACCGAAGTTATCGGCAACTGGCAGGAGCCATATGATTGTCGCTTTATTGTATGAAATGCAAATGCCTTGTAATTGCTTTACTTTATCACTAAGCGGTAGCGATAGTCGTAGAAGCAATAGATGGCGTAGCGACAACGATGCTACGATGGAGATCAAGGTGTCACGCCGGTGACGATGGTGATCACGACGGTGCTTCGAAGATGGAGATCACAAGCACAAGATGATGATGGCCATATCATACCACTTATATTGATTGCATGTGATGTTTATCCTTTATGCATCTTATCTTGCTTTGATTGACGGTAGCATTTTAAGATGATCTCTCACTAATTATCAAGAAGTGTTCTCCCTGAGTATGCACCGTTGCGAAAGTTCTTCGTGCTGAGACACCATGTGATGATCGGGTGTGATAGGCTCTACGTTCAAATACAACGGGTGCAAAACAGTTGCACACGCGGAATACTCAGGTTAAACTTGACGAGCCTAGCATATACAGATATGGCCTCGGAACACGGAGACCGAAAGGTCGAACGTGAATCATATAGTAGATATGATCAACATAGTGATGTTCACCATTGAAACTACTCCATCTCACGTGATGATCGGACATGGTTTAGTTGATTTGGATCACGTAATCACTTAGATGACTAGAGAGATGTCTATCTAAGTGGGAGTTCTTAAGTAATGTGATTAATTGAACTTAAATTTATCATGAACTTAGTCCTGGTAGTATTTTGCAAATTATGTTATAGATCAATAGCTTGCGTTGTTGCTTTCATATGTTTATTTTAATATGTTCCTAGAGAAAATTGTATTGAAAGATGTTAGTAGCAATGATACGGATTGGATCCGTGATTTGAGGTTTATCCTCATTGCTGCACAGAAGAATTATGTCCCTAATGCACCGCGGTGACAGACCTATTGCAGGAGCAGATGCAGACGTTACGAACGTTTGGCTAGCTCAATATGATGACTACTTGATAGTTTTGTGCACCATGCTTTATGGCTTAGAATCGGGACTTCAAAAACGTTTTGAACATCATGGACCATATGAGATGTTCCAGGAGTTGAAGTTAATATTTCA